GGCTGGCCTCGAACTCACAGAGATCCGCCTGGCTCTGCCTCCCGAGTGCTGGGATTAAAGGCGTGCGCCACCAACGCCCGGCTGCAACTGTATTATTAAAGGGCCACAGCGTTAGGAACGTTGAGCACCAGTGATCTAGTTTGGCTTCATTTTGAGATGTAGCCTTTGATTACCCAGGTTGGTCTTGAACTCACCATAAAGTGAAGAATGATCTTGAACTATTGACCCACCAGCCTCCACCTCCCAAGTGCTGGGAACACACATATGCACCACCCTACCTGGTTAGTCTCTAGACTTTATTATAACCCCGGATACTTTCTAGTCCTTCTGTCCCATGCTGATGTAAACTAAGCAGGCTTCTAAAGAGTAGTACTCACACCTTGCTGATGGTCTTACCAGTGGCTGGAGGCAGAAAGGCCTTTACATTAGAGGGAAGAGGTTGTCGGTTCACATTTCTAGGCAGGGCAGCTCTCATAGCGATCCTTCCCCAGGTTGCGAATACCGACTCCCTTTCTGAAGTTAGCACTTCAACTATCCCGGTCTCCTCTCTCCTACTATTGAGATTTTCAGGCTTGGATCTTTTGGTGACAACAGTCTTGGGTTTCCTGGGAAGTGGCTTCAGTCTGGCTTCAAGAGATGTGTCGGGAATGTGCTGAAAATGAAATTCACCAGTATTCAAAATAGCTCTTGCAGAAAGGACTTGTTATGCCAATTTCACCGTAATTTCACACTGGCTTGAGCCAAGTATGAAAATTTTAAAACGCTGCTCTCTATAGTGTTGGTTCAGCAGGGAGAAAACTGATAGTTAAAAGCTCAGATCCGGCTGGAGAAATGGCTAGTGCAGAAGATCAGGAAGATCACTGGCCTGGAGGTAACATTCCAACAAACTGCTAATAAACATTTGTTTCCCCACAAATGCCTATAACCACAGCTCCTAGGCAGATGAGACAGACTTGTTGGTGCTAGTTAGCTTTCAGAATAGCAGAGAAAACTTGAGCACCAGATACAGGGAGAGACACTGCCCGCTTCAAAACAGTAGGCACATGGCTAGGACACCAAATGCCTTCTTCTGGTCTCCATGTGCATAGGTACATGGATCTGCACACAGGAAAAAAAAATGGAGATACAAGTAAGATCATAAATTCAAAGCCAGGCAGGCTCGGCTACATGTTAAGATAGCAAGGTCTAGGCACTTAGTTGTGGGATTTGTTGAAGGTGCTGTGTTTGTTTTTTGTCTATTTATTGAAACAGGATTTCTGTGGAACGGTCCTGGCTGTCTTGGAACTAGCTCCAGGACAGGCTGGCCTCCAGAACTCAGAGATCTTCCTGCTTCTGCCTCCCTAGTGCTGAGATGAGAGGTGTGGGCCACCACACCCGGCTGGTGGTTTGTTTTTGTTTTCAGTCTTACTCTGTAGCCCAGGCTGGTCTTGAACTCGATGTCCACCTTCCTGTCTCAATCTTCCAAATGATAGGATGGATTACAGTTGGCTGCCCATCCAACTCTTTTTGGTTTGAGGCAACAACAAAATGATCTTCTCGGCCTAGAATCTACTATGTGGCCGAGATAGACAGACCCTCTTGTCCCCAACCTCCCCAGTTCTGGGTTCCTAGCGTTGTCGTGTCCAACTGTAGCACCCAGTTAGAAAAACAAAAACCATGGTAAGATGGGAAGTTGTGAAGTGGAGAGGACTTGAGTGCTTCTAAACAACCCTACTTGACCACATTCAAATCAATAAATCCGTGTGGGGCCTAGTGGTGCAGGCCTATCATCCCAACGATTGGTACCTATAATCCTGGCACTTGGGAGGTTTGAAGTAGCAGGATTCCAAGCTCAATAATCTCCTTAAGCTACCCAGGGAGTTGTAGGGCAGCCTAAGACACTTGGAGATCTTATCAAGACAAACTACTACAAGGCACACACATCCTTAACTTCAGCATGAAGGAGGCAGAGACAGGTGGATCTCTGAGTTCCAGGCTGCCCAGGTAACTACACAGTGAGACCTTGTCTCAAAAAACACAAAACGCCGGGCGGTGGTGGCACACGCCTTTAATCCCAGTACTCGGGAGGCAGAGACAGGAGGATCTCTGTGAGTTTGAGGCCAGCATGGTCTCCAAAGTGAGTTCCAGGAAAGGGGCAAAGCTACACAGAGAAACCCTGTCTCGAAAAAACAAACAAAAACAAAAAAAAAAAAACCCAAAACAAAACCACTCACACAACCAAATACGTAGTGAAAAATGGAAGGTTGAGTTTAACCACACATTTGGTCCCTCAAATGTCAATAACCATGCCTTAGAGGAGAAAGGTTACGTATAGAAGTTTTAGTGAGCCCACAGGGAGAGCCCACCTCCCCTCCATCACCATATCCATTACTCACGCATTGTTGTTTTGAATATGAATTCTCCAGGAGTCTCTTGTACACGTCAATTTTCTAAGGAAACCAAGAGAAAATAGTTAAAATCCGACCAGACTCTACACACTTAGTCCATAGAGCACAGAATCCCAGTGTGAGGGCACCAACCTTTCCATCTGTACTCAAGTTGTGATAGCGACACCATTCCCGAAGAGTGTTCCGGGACACATCATTAATGGGGGGCAGCACAGCTGGCAGATTGGGCACTCGTGGGGACGCTGGAGGCTTGCTAGCCTTAGAAGTTGGCACAGGGGGAACTAGAAGAGACAAAGCAATAACGAATACCAGGTGATTGCTCACAAATCAGTTTGCACATAAACCTCTTTTTCTTTCCCTCCTGTTAAAATGAGGGGAAAAAGGGCTGGAGAGATGGCTCAGATGTTAAGAGCACTGGCTGTTCTTCCCGAGGTCCTGAGTTCAATTCCCAGCAACCACATGGTGGCTCACAACCATCTAGAATGAGATCTGGTGCCCTCTTCTGGCCTGCATGCATACATGCAGGCAGAACACTGTATACATAATAAATAAATCTTTAAAAAAAAAAAATGAGGGGAAAAAAAGGAGGAATTCACTTGACCAAGATCATATACCCCTTAAAACAGTCGACCTGGGAGGGACAGCAACCCACCTTAACATTCCAACTTCTATGCTTTCTTTTCTTAAGATTCTGTCTTATTATGTTTGTGTATGTGCCAATGTGCATTCTAGACAACTGAGCTATTTCTGTTTTGTTTTTGTTCTTTTCTTCTTTTTCTTTTTTTGATACAGGGTTTCCCCTTGTAGCTTTTGGAGCCTGTCCTGGAACTCACTCTGTAGCCCAGGCTGGCCTCGAACTCACAGAGATTCACCTGCTGCTGCCTCCCGAGTGTACTGGGATTCAAGGAGTGCGCCACCAACCCTTGTTATGTTTTTTCCAAGACAGGGTTTCTCTGTGTAATAAGGCTGTCCTCAAACTCTGTAGACCAGCCTAGTCTACACACTCGGAGATCTCTCGGCCTGCCTCTGCCTCACATGGGCTGGGATTAAAGGTGTGTGTCACCACTGCTCCACCTATTCCCTGTCTTAAACAAGGCAGCATATAGGGGCTTAGCAACTGAGCTAGGTGGAAATTTCTCCTGGGGAATTACAGTGAGGTTGAAGAAGCCTGCTTGGCCTGGCCATGCAGGTCTTTACACCTGTAGCCCCAGCACCAGAGAGACAGAAAGGGGGGATTTTTTCTGTTGAGTTTGAGGCAAGCCTCATCTACATAGAAAGCTCCAGGACAGCCAAGGCAGCACAGTGAAAAACTATGTCAAATAAAACTAAGTCTAAGCCGGGCGGTGGTGGCGCACGCCTTTAATCCCAGCACTCGGGAGGCAGAGCCAGGCAGATCTCTGTGAGTTTGAGGCCAGCCTGGGCTACCAAGTGAGCTCCAGGAAAGGGGCAAAGCTACGCAGAGAAACCCTATCTGGAGAAAAAAAAGAAAGAAAGAAAAGAAAAAGAAAAAAAAAAAAAAAAACTAAGTCTACTTTTCTTGGCTTTCCAGAGGCTTACTGAGAAATCTACCTCACATCTACATTGTTTTCCCCGGGATTCTTTTTGTTTGTTTGTTTGTTTCTGGGATTAAAGGCATGCACCACTGCTGCCTGGCTTCCCCAGGATTCTTCCGTTTGACAATACCTACCTGGTGGCTGGAGGCCAATGGGTGAAGACATATTTGATTCGGTAGACACTTCAATGGTGGGCTCCTCTGTCACTGGGACCAGCGTTAAAATAATGTTTTCTTCATCAATTTCTTCCTTAAACAAGCTCTGCAAAGAGAGGCAGTGAGAGTCTGCATGTTCACAAGGCAAGCTTTAGTGAAGTCATCATTGACCATCTGTGTTCGGGTGTTAGAAAAGCAAGATGCCCAAAAGTTGGAGGAGTGTGGCCACTGTGGGAGGACTTTCTGTACCAGGGTAAGTTATCTCAGTTGTCCTCTTTTGCAAGTGATATATACCTAGAAAAGAAATGAATGAAGGCCGGGCGGGGGTGTCACACGCCTTTAATCCCAGCACTCGGGGAGGCAGAGCCAGGCCGATCTCTGTGAGTTCCAGGCCAGCCTGGGCTACAGAGCGAGTTCCAGGAAAGGTGCAAAGCTACACAGAGAAACCCTGTCTCAAAAAAGAAAAAAAAAAAAGAAAAGAAAAAAGAAAAAAAAAAGAAAGAAAGAAAGGAATGGATTAAGACTAAGGGGTAGTGACATCTCCTCGAGGAAGTTCTTGAACATTCTATAGACTGTGCCACACCCCTCCCCTTCAGGAGAAATCTTCACCCCCTTTACTTCCAAATTTGAATTACTGATTTTTTTTTACATTTGTATAGCATCTTTTCAAGGTACTCCAGACACAGATTCACTTTTGCTACCTAAAAAACAAACAACATCCCCTTTACTTCCAAACTTGAATTACTGATTATAATTATTATTATTTTACATTTATATAGCACCTTTTCAAAGTACTCCAGACACAGATTCACTTTTGCTACCTAAAAAACAAACAACATCCCCTTTACTTCCAAACTTGAATTACTGATTATAATTATTATTATTTTACATTTATATAGCACCTTTTCAAAGTACTCCAGACACAGATTCACTTTTGTTACCTAAAAAACAAACAACCAAACAAAAAACAAATGCAAGATGATGGTGGCACATACCTTTAATCCCAGCACTCGGGAGGCAGAAACAGGCAGATCTCTAAGTATGAGCCTAGCCTGGGCTGCTGCATAGAGTTCCAAGACAGCCTGAGCTACACATCAACAAAACAAAATACATCACCCCACTCTGGGGATGAGGTCTAAAAGCAGTAGTGAGTTGGCCTGGCCAGTTCTGTCTTGTAGCATGATACAGTGGCCCTATCTGGTCCAGGATCACTGAAATCTACATCCACCTGGCATTAGAGGTACTGGGAACTGGTTACTTCTCATTAGAAAAAAAAAATGGCTACTTAAATATATAAATGTTTTTAAATGTATAAGTTGTCAAAAAAAATTCACTTAAATTTAGTTCACTCTTCCTAGAGATTTTTAATTAGCTACAGCATTCCTTGTCGAAGACAAATTTACAGGTTACTATTTCATCTAGGCAACAGTTTCATTTTGCTCCCAGGAGATACATAGTGTCAAACATGTGGAAAGAAAGTAACAAGCAAAGAGGATTCCAAGATGGAGGCTTTGAACCCGAATTGATTCCTCCAAGTTGGAAACAAAAGTGAGACCTCGGAAGACAGCGATAAGAACTCCCGGAGAAAAATAAATTCTCTTAGAAAGAAAGGTTACCTCGTTATAAGCATCCTGGCTGCATTGTGCCATTTCCACGCAGGCTTCAGGGAAGACAAAAGCTGCAAAAGTAAGGATGTCTGCAGCTCACTACTGCTAACCTGAGCGTTCTTTTACAGGTAAATGCCGCCTCCTACTTCCTGTCCTCCAAATAGGCTCTTTCCCCTCCTCCGCTCTCCACCCCTTTCTGTCTTTCACAGTGGCTTTATCAGCTCCACTGATCTCAGGAGATAACTGATGGTACACAGCGGAATTATTAAGTCAATCAAAAGCCTACGCCACTCCCCTTTTTAAAAATCTGGGCCTTTGAGCTACTCAGGGTGTCAAATGTCTGTAATCCCAGTTTTCTGGATGCAGAAATAGGAGCAGGAGGATCATAACAACGCCAAGTTTATCTGGACTACATAACAAGAGCCTCCTTAAGGGTGGTGCATGCTAGTTATCCCAGAGCTGGAGAGCCTGAGCCAGGAAAAGGTTCAGTTCCACTCAGCCTCTGTGAAACCCTCTGTCTTTAAAGGAAGGAAGGGGGCTGGAGAGATGGCTCGGTGGTTAAGAGCACTGGCTATTCTTTCAGAGGACCCAGGTTCATAGCACTCATATGGCAGCTCAAAACTGCCTGTACCTCCAGTTTCAGGGGATCCAACACCTTCACACAGACTAAACATGAATGTGCATGAAATAAAAATGAGTAAATTATTTTTAAAAGGAAGGTAGAAAGAAATAAAACAAAACAAAAAACAGCCCTCTCCCCCCCAAAAAAAAATATTTAATTTGTTAAGGGATTGTCTGTAAATCTAAATTATGAAGCCCTCCCTATCTCCTGAATCACTCCTTTGAGGGTGTGCCCCAGGAATCTGTGTTTCCATGATGCCCTCAGGGGTTTCTTCTACAGTCAGGTAGCACTGCCCAAATCAAGCTTTGCTAGAAATAGCTTTGGAGACAGGTCCACGAGAGCTGACACTCCTTGCCCCTCCCCTGTGGGATAGAATCTGCGGAACATCCAGAGAGCTGGGGATAGGCAAGGACTCCTCCTTCCCATGTGGGTGCCATAGCTGCTTTGATGAAGATGACCTAGTGGCCTGACATGGGTGGCATTGAGACAAAGCCTTGCTGTTGTCTTTATTTTGCAACTTTGCCTCAACCTCCCTAATACAGTGATTACAGGGGACATCATGCCCTATTCACATGCTAGAGTTCTTCTCTCACTCCGTCCGCCCCTTTAAATTTTCTTCATTTCTTTTATTAAGAATTAAACCAGGCTTCGTGGACTGAAGATATGGTTCAGTGGTAAGAGCACTGATTGATGTTCCAGAGGACCCAGGTTAGATTGCCAGTGTCCACACAATGACTCTCAACTGTCCGTAACTCCAGTTTCAGGGGATCTGAGACCTTCTGGACTTCAAGGGTACTTAGGGGTGTACATGCATACATGCAGGAAAAATAACCATACTTATAAAATGAAGTTTAAATTAGAACTTAAAAGACAAGTTACCAGCCGGGCGGTGGTGGTGCACGCCTTTAATCCCAGCACTCGGGAGGCAGAGGCAAGTGGATCTCTGTGAGATTGAGGCCAGCCTGGTCTACAAAGTGAGTTCCAGGAAAGGTGCAAAGATAATAATAAAATAAAATGAAGTTTAAATTAGAACTTAAAAGACAAGCTACCAGCTGGGCAGTGGTGGCACATGCCTTTAATTCCAGCACTGGGGAGGCAGAGGCAGACGGATCTCTGTGGGTTCAAGGCCAGTCTGGTCTACAAAGTAAGTTCCAGGACATCCAGGACTATTACAAAGAGAAACTCTGTCTCGAAAAAACAAAACAAAACAAACAAAAAAAGACAAGCTACCTTTTCACTAAAGTTGGGTGTGGTGGCACACACCTTTAAACTCAGCACTCTGGAAGCAGAGGCTAGCTGCAGCTTGGTCTACAAAGAGTTCCAGGTTAACCAAGAATTCAAAGTGGGGATACTGTCTGAAACAAACAAAATAAATAATTTAGACAGGTTTATCCCATTAGAGCTCCATGATCCCCTTCCAGAGCACCACATCAGCTAGCTTACACAGGACAGGATGTGCAAGCAGCTAAGAATGGGGGAAAAATGAAATGCCTGGGTTAGTGACTAGGAGTGGAAATGAAGCTGAACACCTAAAAATCCTTGGTCTCCTCTTGGGCTGGGTGTGGTGGCGCACGCCTTTAATACCAGCACTGGGAGGCAGAAGCAAGTAAATCTCTGTGAGTACGAGTTCCAGGACAACCAGGGCAGTTACACAGAGAGATTCTGTCTTAAAAAGCCAATAACAGTAATAATAACAAATCAGTCAGATATGATGGTGCATATCTTTCGCCCTAGCACTCAGGAAGCAGAGGCAGGAAGATCTCTGAGTTTGAGACTTGTCTATGCTACATCAGGAAGTTCTGGACTAGCTAGGGCTACCCTACTGGCTACACCTGAGACCCTGTTTCTCTCTCTCTCTCTCTCTCTCTCTCTCTGACAGTTTCTCTGTGTAGCTTTGGAGCCTGTCCTGGAACTCGCTTTGTAGACCAGGCTGGCCTCTATCTCACGGAGATCTGCCTGGCTCTGCCTCCCAGCTGCTGGGACTAAAGGCATGTGCCACCTCCACCTGGCAAGTATTTACTTATTTATTTATTTATGTATTTATTTATTATGTATACAACATTCTGCTTGCATGTATACCTGCACACCAGAAGAGGGCTCCAGAACTCATTATAGATGGTTGTAAGCCACCTTATGGTTGCTGGGAATTGAACTCAGGACCTCTGGAAGAGCAGCCAGTGCTCTTAAACTCTGAGCCATCTCTCCAGACCCTCTCTTTTTCTTTTTTCTTTTGTTGGCTAGTTTTTTTTTTTTTATTTTTTATTTTTTTAGTTTCCACTTTTTTGTCTTTTGTGGCCATCGCTGGACTGGCCACTGCCAAAATGAAGTTCAATCCCTTGCTGACTTCCGACTGGAACAAGAACCGCCAACAGCCTTTCAGTTCACCTTCTCACATCCAAGGGGGAGATCATGTCTTCCCCACTTCCCACAGAGCTGAGAAGGAAGTATAATGTTCTGTCTACGCCCGTGCGAAAGGACAATGAAGTTCAGGTTGCTGGGGACACTACAAAGGCCAGCAGATGGACGAAGTGTTCCAGGTGTACAGGAAGAAATACGTCATCCACACGGAAGGAGTGCAGAGGAAAAAAAGATTAATGGCAAAACAGTCCGTGTGGACATCCACCCCAGTGAGGAGGATATCACCAGACTAAAGCTGACAATGAGGAAAAGAAAAGAAAAGAAGAGAAGAGAAAAGAAAAGAAAAGAAAAGAAAAGAAAAGAAAAGAAAAGAAAAGAAAAGAAAAGAAAAGAAATCCTGGAAAGGAAAGCTGAGTCTAGATTTGAAGAAGGACAAAGCAAATACAGTTAGAAATGATTGAGAAGATGTGGGATTGGGGGAACTCATGCCCAACTTTTTCATTAAAGACTGCTTAAGTAAAAAAAAAAAAAAAAAAAAGAATCCATCAAGTGGTGTTAGCTCACACACACCTTTAATCCCAGAACTCACTCAGGAGGCAGCGGTAGGTGGATTTCTGAGTTTGAGACCAGCCTGGTTTACAGAGCAAGTTCCAGAATAGCCAGGGCTACACAGAGAAACAGTGTCTTTTTTTTTATTTTTATTTTCCAGAGCTGAGAACTGAACCCAGAGCCTTGAGCTTGCTAGGCAAGCACTCTAGCACTGAGCTAAATCCCCAACCCCGGAAACACTGTTTTGAAAAACAAAACAGCAACCACAGCAACAAAAGAATCCTTTCCTTTGTGTGTGTGTGTGTGTGTGTGTGTGTGTGTGTGTGTGTGTGTGTGTGTGTGTGTGTGTTGGGGGTGGGGCGGCACGTATCTGTGTGTATTCCTGATTGGCCTGGCATTTGATATGTAGACCAGGCTGGCCTCAAACTCTCAGAGTTCCACCTGCCTTGACCTCTGCACCGCTGGGATGCTAGGATTCAAGGGAAGAGTCAAGCCCAACTAAGGAGAAGCCTCCTAAACTAGATAGGATAGCTCATCTTGGAGGCAGCAGCTCATTCAAAGGCCAGAATGGTCTGTTCAGTGAGTGAGTTTACTGTAGCCAGGGCAACATAAGAACCTCTTTCAAACGCTTCCCATATCCTTCCTCCTAAAAGAAAGAAAAGTCAGATTCGGGGCTAGGAATGTAGGGCTGGTAGAGTGCTTGCCTGGTGTACATGAAATCTTGAGTTTGGTTCCCCCGCACAACAAAATGATAACAGCAACAGCAATATAATAAAAGTGGGCATGGTGTTGTACATCTATAATTCTGGTACTTGGGACATCTGCATAGTTTCAGGCCAGCCAAGACTATGTAGGGAGACCTGTCTCAAAAAGGATGTAGTTCAGTGCTATAGGGCATGCTGCAGGTACAAGGTTGCAAGTTGGATGGATTCTCAGCGCGCGCACACACACACACACACACACACACACACACACACACACACACACGGAGGGAGGAGGAGAAAGGAAGAAAGGAAAGAAGGACAGAATGAAGGGAGGGAGATAAATGAGCTATCTTCTTTCTGTACTTGGAGCTTTTCCCCCCAGGATGTTTCCTATGAGACAGGATGGTCTGTCAAACAAACCAGAATAGAAAGATGAACTCATGTCTACTCGAAGTAGCTACAGTTTGGTGTTAAAGATTTTCAGATTGGTCTGACACTCTGTAGCTCGCCGGGTACTTCCCTAGCATACATGAGAATCCCCAGAACCTTGCAGACAGGTGTGTTGACTCGGGCCTGTCTTGGCAGAAGCCTGCTGTCTCAGTACTTTGGAGGTCCAAGTATGAAGTTCAAAGTCATCCTCAGTTATGAAATCAAGTTCCACATTAGCTTGGGTTAAATACACTACATGAAATCCTATCTCAAAACAACCAATGATTAGACTAGGCTAAGGACATAGCTCAGTGGTAGAGAAAGGGAGCCACCACCATCTCAATGTACTCAACAGGTGTTAAAGTACTGTTAAAATTTACTTAAAATTTGTTTGGGCTGTGGTGGCTCATGCCTTTAATCCCAGCACTCGGGAGGCAGAGGCAGGTGAATCACTGTGAGTTCAAGGCCAGCCTCGTCTACAAAGTGAGTTCCAGGGCAGGCTCCAAAAGCTACTCAGAGAAACCCTATCTCAAAAAAACAAATTTTTTTGTTGCTGTTGTTTAAAATTCACCATTTTTAGTGTAAATTACCAGTCCTTTTTGTTTGCTTGTTTTTTGGTTTTTAAGACAGGGTTTCTCTGTGTAGCCCTGGCTGCCCTGGAACTCACTCTGTAGACCAGGCTGGCCTTGAACTCACAGAGATCCACCTGTCTCTTGAGTGCGGGGCATTAAAGGCCTGTGCCACCATCGCCCGTCAGCCATTTCTATTTCTTGAGACCGGGCGGGTCTCGACTTGAAACTGACTATGTAGCAGAGGCAGAGGATGAGCATCAGCTTCTGCCTCTTACCTCTCCTGGGCTGGGATCAAGGTGTGTGCTACCACATCCAGTGTGTGCAGTGCAAGGCATCAAACCCGGGGTCTCCGGGATGTCAGGCAGGCACTCTAACCATTGAATTATATCCTTCTTCCCCTTGACTTGATGTTGAGCTTGCATTTGCATCCTCTTGACTGCCGGTCTGCTTTGCCTACAAGGACCCCAGCCTCATAGTGCCTCAAGGCCAGTGTCCTCTGGTTGCCATTCAGTCTTCCTGGTAGTTTTAGCCTCCTAGTCATGTAGGCTTCTAGTAATTAAATGCCGTAACCTGGCTGTATCATTTCAGGGTCTATTATCCACTAACTGGTATCGTGCCACAACACTGTCTCTCATCAGAGAACATTTTCAGCTGTGCTTCGTCCCTCTCCAGCACATTCCTGATAGGCCTTCTCAATATTTCATCCTATGAGGTTGTGCAAAGAACATGGCTTCCCAAATGTGACCTTGAATACCTTCTCTGTCTTTTTTTTTCTGAGTTTTTTTTTCCTGAGTTTTTTTATCATCGATGTATAGACACCATGACCACGGCCACTCTTACAAACAAAACATTTAATTGAGGTGGTGGCTTATAGGTTCAGAGGTTTAGCCCATTATTACCATGATGGGGAGCATTTGGGTAGTTGTGGTGCGGCTATATCTTGACCAGAGGGCAACAGGAAGTCGACTGTCACCCTGAACCAAGCTTGAGAGAAGAGACCTCAAAGCCCGCCTCCACAGTGGCACACCTCCTCCAACAAGACAACACCTACTTCCAGAAGGCCACACCTCCTAATAGTGCCACTCCCTTTGGGGCCCATTTTCTTTCAAATCACCACAATCTCCATCCCTCCAGGCCTATTTTCCTCAGCCTCATCATTTCTTCATCTCTCCCTCGTCTTTACTACTTGAGTGTTTCTACATGGATCAGCACTGGTTGTTGCTTTCTCTGGCTACGAATCCTCCTAGCATTGAATTTGCCTCATCACTATCTACTAGGATTCTTGCTTCGATGTTGTATCTAGAGCCAGGAGAAATGGTGCCCAATGGAATAAATTCTTTTTTTTTTTTTCCCTTGGCTTTTTGAGACAGGGTTTCTCTGTAGCAGCTTTGGAGCCTGTCCTGGAACTCACTCTGTAGACCTTGAACTCACAGAGATCCACCTGCCTCTGCCTCGCAAGTGCTGGGATTAAAAGTGTGCGCCACCACCGCCCAGCTCCTGGAATGAATTCTTGCTGGTTCATACTTGTATTCATAGATCAGTTGCTCTCCTGTTCTATTGGTGATTCGTCCCCTAACTCCTGCCTGTGCACACCAGCTACTCTCTGCATTCCAGCTAATGTTTGGAGCATATTCTCTTTCCTCTTTTGCTATTCCAGAACTTTCTCAATTAGTTATACAGGAATTTAGTTCTAAGATATTGACCCCATCCTGGAAGAGAACTCAGAAGTGTGTGTGTGTGTGTGTGTGTGTGTGTGTGTGTGTGTGTACTCAAGGTCAAGCACGCTTGCTTGCTTGAAGTGCGAGGTAAATCAGAATATCACCAAGTCCCCTAAGCTGACCTTGAATGCAACAACCAGGCAAGTCTTAACCTGTGATTCTTCCCAGCCTTTGTGAGTGGCTGAAATAATAGGCCTGCGCCATAAGGCCCAAAGGAAAATTACGTTTTTTTCTTTACTTTCTGAATTATTTTGTCTCTGCTATCTAGTCCATTAATGATTACTTGTAATAGAATATTATTTTAAGGTGTGCTACTTTTGTTTATGTTGTGTTTGTTTAACTCTGTGAAGCTGTGTTACTGTGCCTGTCTAAAACACCTGATGGTCTAATAAAGAACTGGCCAACAGCAAGGCAGAAGAAAGGACAGGCGGGGCTGGCAGGCAGAGAGGATAAACTGGAGAACTCTGGGAAGAGGGTTTGGAGATCTAGGATGAAGTAGCCAGAGAAGAAGGAGGACTCCAGGGGCCAGCCATCCAGCTACACAACCAGCAAGCCATGGAGTAAGAGTAAGATTTACAGAAGTAAGAGAAAGGGAAAAGCCCAGAGGCAAAAGGCAGCTGGGATAAGTTAAGGAAAGCTGGCTAGAAACTAAGCCAAGCTAAGGCCAGGCACTCATGATTAAGTATAAGCCTCTATGTGTGATTTATTTGGTAGCTGGGTGGCAGGCCTCCCCAAAAAAGAATAAAAAAATCCCCAACAGCAATTACCATCAATCTTACCTCCACCCCCACCATTTATCAGTATCCAAGTCAACTTCTGTCCATCGAGGGCACTGCACATACATGGTACACAGACACAAAAGTAATACCTTTATACACAAAGAGTCAAAAGAAATAAAATCTCAAAACTGTTTTTTTTTCTGTTTTCAAATTTTGAATTATATTGTTTTGTATGTCCAATGTTTTGCCTGCTGGTATCTATGTGCATGGAATGTGTGCCTGGTGCCATGGAGGTCAGACGATGACGTCCATCCAGGGAACTAGAGTTATGGATGGTCATGAGCCTCTATACAGGTGCTGTGAGGCAAACCCAGGTCTCCTGTAACATCAGAAGTGCTCTCAACCCATGAGCCAACTCTCCAGACCCTGATGTTTGTTTTCCATACAAGGCCTCATATAGCCCAGGCTAGACTCAAATTCTTTGGGCAGCTGAAATTCTTTTTTTTTTTTT